GCTCCGGTGGCTCTGAGGGCTGGTAACCTAAAGGGGAGGGGCCCCCCCTCCCCCCCCCAAGATATTCCACCTTAACCCAGAAGATGCTGCTCGGAGGGTGGAGTCAGAAATGGTGTCTGGTGTCCAGCCTGGACTCCCTTGGCCGGAGCTTGTGTGAAGGGTCAAAAGGGGGGCCAGGAAGGGCAGCCCACAAACTTGGGGTGCTCCCTCTCCCTCCCCAATGACCTGCATGGCCCCCCCCTCCCTTCCCTTTTGCAATTTCCCAAAATGGGGAAACATCCTGGGGGAGGCTTTGGTGTTGTGTGCTGCTCTTGTGTGCGATTGCGTTACGTTTTGGGGTCCCTGCAAGGAAAAGCCGCCAAAAATCTTGGAAAAGGATTTGGGGAGTCCAGAAAATGTTTGGAGGCTTTGCGGGTGATTCAAGGCTCTTTCAGCTCCTTAAGAGAGATTTTTTGGGAGGAGAGAGAAAGAGAAAAACTTATTGATTAATGGAGGGCGAATAGAAGAAGCTCACCTGGTTGTTGGATGGGAGTTGCTAGAAAAAGGGAGAGAGATTCATTCAGAACTTTTTTATCTTTTCAATAGGACTGTTTTTGACATATTTACTGTTTTATGTTTTTTGCTATATGCTGCCAAGTCACTTCTTGTGGGCGGCCTGATAAATTTCATAAGTAAATAAATTAATAAAGGGCTGGAACATTTACGGGGTCAAGGTCCCATTCTATAGCCTATAATATTTATTTATTTATTTATTTACTTACTTACTTACTTACTTACTTATTTTTAAACTTTAAGTCACCAACGGGTGACTCTGGGCGGCTCACAATAACAAAAAAGAAAAAACACACCAATCCCTCCAACAGTGGCTAAAATCCATAAATAATTAATGAATCTCTCTCCCTTTTTCTAGCAACAATGAATCTCTCTCCCTTTTTCTAGCAACACAGTGGCTAAAATCCATAAATAATTAAAATACAAACATACATTAAAAATGTCCTAACCCCCCCCCTGTATATTTTAGCACTAACACCTTCAAGATGCTGGGGAGGGGGAGCCAGAACCCATCACCCCACCAGCCATCTCCACAGATGCAAGCCTCCTTTAGCTGGGTTTTTGCTGCCCAGATCTAGTAGCCCT